CCGCGCCTCTGCCTCTATCAGAAGCAGCAGCATGTGGGTTGGGGGGCAGGCGGAGCTCATGCTCATAGGGAGATGGCTTAAAAGCCTGCTCCCTATGGGCACCAGTTCCTGCCTCCCCCTGCCTTGCTGCATCTGATACAGAGGAAGCAAGGGAGAAAAAATGCATGTAGTCTACAGGATTAACTGATAAGCCTGGATTTACCAATTAATCATGTAGTCATTGACATCCCTAGTAAAAACCAGCTTCAAATTAGTGCTGTTCAAAACTTTCTTGCTAAATTGCAACCAGTATTTCAAAAGGTATCTTTTAAAATGCAGTTAAGGAATAATGTTCACTTTAACGAAAGGCTATAATATTTACCTAAAAATCTACGAAGTTTCATCATATCTAACTGGAAGTGCTCTATCAGTCCATGAAGATTAAACAGGTGGAAGGTTAAGCTGACTAGACTGTTTCCTAAAAATAAAATACATATATTAATTCATTTTAAAAAATGAAACTGGTATTGCCATCACAAGGGAATTACATTTAACACCCTATTGACATCAAAAGCTGAGTATGGGACACTTCTAGCCTACTTAGCCTCATTAGCATCAGGACTACAATTGACAGATAATTTTTTTCTCCCTCTCCCTATTCTGAGGATCCCGCTTTTTTTCTCCACTGAAGATCATCTCATCTGACACTATATAAATATTTTTGTTAATCTCTAAGGTGTCACAGGACTACTCATTTTTAAAGTTACAGACTAACTTGGCTAATTCAGACTTTATCCACCCATTTCACGATATCTATTTAAATTCATGCAATAGATTACACCAGTCATTTTTCTGACAAATGAAACCACAGCAAAAATGAATAAACGGTAAACTGATTCTCTTCCACTACGTGAAAATATAAAATACCTTTCCTTCAAAAAAATGAAGGCAGAATACAGGTTGTACCTCCCCTAACCAGGACACTCTGGTCCAGCAACATGATCACAGATGTTCCTGGATCACAGAGCCCAGGTATATGGAGTCTGGCTGTGGGGCAGGAGTGTGACAGGGGGCCGGCGACACAGCCAGGAGCCCCATGTCAAGGGGTGGGGAGGCAGGGCAGCAGGGAGATCTGGCCCCGGTGGCTGGGCATTAGTGAGGGGCCAGCAGCAACTGCAGAGCTGTGGCCAGGGAACTCTGACTCCAGTCACGCAGCTCCGGCCCTGGCAATGGCCAGAAAGCTCTGACCCCAGTCATGCAGCTGCTGCTCCAGGGGCAGTCAGGCAGCTCTGGCCATAGAATTAGTGGGGCCAGGCAGCAGCAGGGATGGGCTGGAGCCCTAGCCAGGAGCAGTGTTAAGCACGGGCCATGAGGGGAAGGATCTCCCCTGATCCAGCAAATCCCCTCCTTTGGGACCTGTCAGGTCCTGAGGGTGGCGGACCAAGGAGGTCCAACCTGTACTATTCTTTGGGAGTTGCCCCAGGCCCTGCTAGGTTGCTTCTTTAATTGTCTTTTCAAGGTCTAACGCTCTGACAAGATCACTCAGACTGCTGCCTCTGACTTTTTCTTCCACCATCACTCTCTAGTGGCCTCATATACTATCAACATATATTGGACCCAACCAAGTTCCACATTTCTCTAGGGTGACCCTAAACAAGATATTATCATCCCAAATACCGCACCACCAAATTCTGCCACTTCCTTTCCAATATTTTAAAAATTCATCTCTTCCTCTCCATTTGTATGACAAGATGTTAAGCCATATGCTAGCAATTCCCTATACTGATTACTATAATCTCCTACGTGCTGGTTTCTCACATGCCCATCTCTCTTTCCTTCAATCTACTGACAATTATGAGACTGGCAAGATTATTAATCTGCTATACTAATCCAATCCTACCTCCACCTGATTCCTTACATTGGCTCTACTACTTTTACATCAAGATCTTCAATTACCAAAATATCTATATTTTCATTGTGACTTCTCTGTCAACAACACTTTCTATAGTCCCTCACCAACCTGCTCTGCTCTCTGATATCTGTATACCCACCTACTCCAATTGTTTCTTTTGCCCTCTGTTCATGTATTGCTTTCTTCTACGGTGCCCCCTATACCTAGAGCTGCCTTCCTACTTTATTGATGCTTAACTCCTATTCTCCTTTAAAGCCTGCTAAGCTCCATCTCTTCTATAAAGTTTCCTGGCTATAACACACATTTCTGGGCGGGGGGGAGGGGGTTGTGTTTTTATACTGTATTCTTTTATAATGTAACTATTCTGACTTTACACTACATTCTTCAGGGCAAAGGACGTTTTCGGCATAATTCATCCATTAGATAGAAGCCATATAGACTAATGCCTCTCTATAACTAAGAAGCATAGGTATTATGGTCTAAGTTTCAAACATTTCTAAACATATTTGATTAAAAAAGAATTAGGCTACAAGCAACTATCTGAGGGGTCTATTACACTAGCTTAAGGATATGGCGATGTAAGTAGTAACACTATTGCAACGTAACAGACTAGATTTCAGGTAACAGAATCTAAAACTTTCAAACTAAAATACCAACTGTCCAAAAACCTTTTATTAATCACAATACTAGGATAATCAATTTGTACTTTTTAAAGTATAATAAAGCAGTAAGATTCCCCTCAGAAAATTAAGTGAAATGTTAACGAATAGTTTAGAAAGAACAGTACATCACGCTTAAATGCTTACAGTAGTAGAAGGGAACTTACCATTTGTTAGCCTATCAAAAAGAAATATATCAAAATTCCATTTTCCAACTTTCTCCAGCATACACTGAAAACAAAAATATTTCTACTGTAACATTTCCATTCAATATGTCATAGTATCAATTATATCCCACAAAAAATCTACTGCTTTTTGAGACAGCTATGGATTTTAACATTTGTTACTAAAAAACAGAATCAAGGTTTACAACTTGTAAACCACATTTCTATCTCAAAGTTTTTCTATAGCTAATATTGTCACCAGCTGTTTAGCACCTGTAAATGATACAAATAATATAACTATAACTAAATTATTAGTTTCATTTACAACATATAAATAAACAGCTTGTACTTGGCAGCCAATGAGCTGTCCAGTTGCATACTGAATTAGAATTACTGCTTTATTTTTAAAAGATGATTACTTTAAATAAATGCTATTACTACTTAAAACAGCTTGACAAAAGGAGAAATCTAATAAACTGATTCCAGTATGTCCAGACTTGGGGCAACAAAGTTGCATTGCAGAAATTATTAGCCATACAAAATTCTACAAATGATCACCCTCAGAGGCCAAAAGCCCCCATTAAAGTGGTACAGAGAAAACAAAAATCGAAGATATTTTGTTAGAAGAACATAAGAATGGCCACACTTTGTCAGACCAAAGTTCTGGCACAGAGGAAATGAAAGAAAAGGTAATCATCAAGTGATCCATTCCCAGTTATACATTTCCAGTTTCTGACAAACAGGCTAGGGACACCATCCTTGCCGATACTGGCTAACAGCCATTGATGGACCTTTTCCTCCATGAACTCACATCGGTTGGTTTTTTTTTTAACTTTTTTGAATTAGTGTTAAAATAATTACTTTATCGCAAGTAACATTTTTGTTTTTAATTTCAGAAAAAAGGTCAACATGAATACACTGCATTAAGGATAAAAATATATAAAAAGTGTTTTCATTTACTTCACTAAATTAAGAAGCTATGTATATAATTGATATGCACTGTATGCAGACATGCACATCTAGTTTGTTTCATAAACGTGTATGTCTGGAACTCCATGCCTGATAAAAGACAAAATTACATTTATACACCTCTAGTAGTCTTCCATCACATTTGGTAGTAGCTTTTACAAACAAACAGCAGCTTTTATAATGAGACAATCAATAGAAGTCATTGTTCTAAACAAATTAAATACCTCGTAAGATGTAGATATTCAAATAACTAGTATCTCAAAGCACTGCCAATTGGTTTGTTCTTCCTGAATGTCTATGATTCCTCTAACACACTGTTTTACGGGCTAACTTGCATAATACTGAAGCAAAATTATTCAGGGCTTTTTTTTTTTTGCACACAGTATAAACTCAATATATGCTCAATATTGATGATATTTCTATTGTTATAAAGCATTCACATTTTCTAATAAAAATTAGGAGCAATTGTTAAAAACACACCTTTGCTTGTCCATTATAATCATCATCCAAAATGTTTGAGGAATTTGGAACAGTAATACCACGGAAGAAACGTGATGATCTCAAGTACCGCTGGAAGCTAAGTAATCTTCGGATATTCCTTGCAGACACAGACACTTCAATTTCAGAATTTGCTAGAAAATACAAGAAAAATAAAGTTCTTCTTAAAACAATAAATATTACAACTCTTCAATTTTAACAGCATTCACTCTAGAAGTATCAATTGTGTCTAGAATAGCTACATTCCCAGAGTAGTTCCTGAGCTATGTTTCAGAACAAAGTGTTTCCTATTTAAGCTTAAAGTAAAGAGAAATACATCTATAAACTGTATGCTAGTCATATGTCTTAACTAAAAATACATGTATTCTAAGGAAACTGAAGAATAACCATGTTGCACAAACACTGTCAGGTTAGACAACGGACTTATTGAAAATGGACTATCACAAAACAGTGTTGCAAATGACAGTGTTCCCCCCCAAAAAGTATAAATATGTAAATGACTGCCACCAGCCATAAAATGCTTACACACTAGAAAATGAAGTATATCAATGGTGATGTAGTGGGATATGATTTAAATGACATTATATGAAGAAGCTATAAGTGTACAGACCATCCTCACTATAAGTCCAAGATACATTCAAAAAAAAATCTTGGGACTTACAAGCGAAACTTTTTAAAGTGGGGAATTTTTTTCCCGGTGGCTGACTTCCATTTGCACAATTTTTTTTTTGCACGACTTAAAAGCAGGGAATGGGAGGACTTATAATGCATCAGTTCCTGCATCAACAACTTTAGTGCAGAACAGATATATATTACTGGGGTGACTTATAGCGGGGATGTCCTGTACAAAAACAACATATACAAAAACCAAATCTTAAGACTTTCTTCTCCTATATTTAGGAATTGTGTTAATTTTTCAAAAGCACCTGTGATTTAGGTGCTTTTGAGAAATGTTACCCGGAAAAACTATTTTTTCCAAACATGCACCCCAATTTCTACTGATTCCTATGATATTCTCAGTGAAAATATGAACATAGTACCTTGTCAGAATACAACAGAACCCACAGACACACAATTCTTAACCTCTTTTATGAAAACAATTCAAAATGCCCCCCAAGTATTATACTCTACTTTTATTAGAAGATAACTTAGTAAAACCATTATTTTTGTGATGCTTAGTCCAGTTATACTGTGTAAAATACCATGAAGGATATTGTACCATTTATTTCAGGTACTTCAAGATCAAACTATGGTTTAAATTCTCTGAAATGATTGATATGTATTTTTATCCATAAATTGTGAAGGTCAAATTCTACCTTCAGTTTCTTTTGTACAATACCTCTACAAGCAGCTACATTTATTAAGAAAAAGTTTACTGTTCTTATACTTAAACTGGGTTTTTTTTTTCCAGAAAAGTGATCAGTAAGACCATTAGATGTTTAAAAAGCTAAGGGTTAATATGCTTATTTCCAAAATACATAGGTTTCTGTGGAAGCAGGCTCTTTGCTGGCCAGGCCTCTCGCGCGTATTGCCATCCAAGCAAAAGGTCAACTTCCCCTTGATGAAAAACCCTTACACTATGTAACTTAAAGATCAGCGACGAACAGGAACCAAAACCAGACCTGAAAAGTTAATGTAAAGTTCGTGCTGGTTGTGCTGACTGTGCCATGCCCGATAAGGCAGAAAAGGAAAAACAGGAAACCATCTCACCCCCTTACTCCTGTCACTTAACAGACAGGGTCTGCTAGCCTATCACAAAAAGCGCGCAAAAGCTTTCTCTATAAAACAGCTTCCCCTCCTGTATCAAATTGAGGAATCCCAAATAAACATTGGATGGCGGAATATGAGCCAGGTCCGAGGACTGATCACCCGAGGGCCACCTCCTGCTCACCGAACCAAACGAGTTCCTGTAGAGTGTAACGTATACCAAACATAACGAATACTAAATATGTTGTTGTTGTTGTAGTTTGTGTGTCTGTTAAATGTAAGTATTGTTATCTGAAATTGTTTAGAGGTATTGTTAAGTAATAGTGTTAAAAGTTTTAGATAAATGATTAGTCTTATAAGTAACACTGATGTAAATGTAACTGTTAATAATCCCTGGTCCCTTGTTAACAACTATTGGGATTTAGAAAAACCTCAGGGAATTTTCTTTACTGTATTGCATTTTGCTTATTGGACATTCTAATAATTATTTAGTGCCTACGTATGTAAGAAATTGATAAAATAATAATTTATACGTAGAAGCCCTTTAATAAAAGTTTAAAAGATATTTAGTAATAGTTTGCCTGTTTCTGCGCCTCCCTGGGACTAGCCACATTTCCGAACCTTTTACTTTAAACCACAGTTTCAAAGCAACAAGAACAAAAATTTATAATCTATATCTTTGTATTTTCCAAAGGGTAAATATATTAATTTCAGAAATCATTGAAACAATGCAGTTCTTAAAAATCAAACATTCTATCAATATTTTATAATGAAGGTAGAAGTTGGTCCTTTAAAAGTCAACTTTATTAATCTACTAATGCCCAAGAAAGCTACCGAGATTATATACACTCTTGTTTAGTTTGATGTATCAAATGTGTTATGGTGGATTTGAAACTTAATACATGACTCTAGTAAACATTTTTAACATCAAACAGTATAAAGAATTTTAAATTACAGATAAACTACACATTTCCCAAACAAAAATTTTATTTCAGTGAAACATGTTTTTCAATTGTCTACCCTTGACTTCACCTTTTAAAAAATAAATTGTCTCTTTAGACACATTTATCAGGGAATCAAATCTTTTCACCTCTTAAAGCTGTCATGATGCAGAGAGTGAGCAGACTAACAGATATTCAGAATCTAACATTCTTTTTACTTTGCATTCTAGAACAGAGATTTTAAAGACATGCAGGGAAAAACCACAACTGACCTGTGTTGTTTCTTTTGATTATAAAGGCAATGCATGAAATACAGCTGTTTCTTGATTTTCTTTTATTTCTTTAAAATTATAGCTTAAAATATAGGAAGTTTCATATTGATTCATACCAGTAGTCTATCAAGCACTGTACCATGATTTATATACCAATGTTTCAGAGTAAAAGTGCAAAAGAGGGGGGAGGGATAGCTCAGTGGTTTGAGCATTGGCCTGCTTAAACCCAGGGTTGTGAGTTCAATCCTTGCAGAGGCCATTTAGGGATTTGGGCAAAAATTTGTCAGGGTTGGTACTTGTTCCCACTGTGAAGGCAGGGGACTGGACTTGATGACCTTTCAAGGTCCCTTCCAGTTTTAGGAGATAGGCAATCTCCATTAATTTAAATTTCTTTCATAATTGTGTACAGAGAAGTTTCTTCTTTACCACCTAAGTTTTAAATCTTGTTAAATTTATGTTTCAGTGACCTGGTTCCATTGGTTCAGTGATCTGGTTCCATTGGTAAATAAGAGGAAGCTTTATTGCTTTTGTATCAGATCTCCCTACTCAACAAATTGCCCAATGTCTTTTCTCTTTATATCATCTTATCAATGCATTTGAACAGATGCCAATAATCGTAAGAGACAATACTGAAGGTTTATGGACATTCAGCAGTGTATCAAATAACCATGATTAAAGTTAGCATTCTTCAGATATGGTAAAATTTTGTAGTATAGACTAGCACCAAGACACTTGAATTTCTCAAAGCTGCTCCTTGCACATGGAACTAGAAACATTTTGGAGAGTTATCACAGAACTTTGACCCTAAACTTTTTCTATCTAGTAATCTATATTTAGATTCCAGGACCTCCCTAAGTCACTACATATTGCCACTATACAACTTGCTGCTTAGGACTCACTAGAAGATTGCCAGGATGTCCACCATCTTCATATCCATTGACTTGCAACTGACTTTGATTCTTATCTGCTTTGTTTTAACTACCCAATCTTCAGAAACTTACTGATTACCTCTAGCTTCCTGTCTCCCCTCCCCTCCTTTCTCTCCTATTTATTTTGGGTCTGCACATCCTAAACTCATAACTCCGGTCATCTGAAGAAGTGGGCTGTGCCCAGCTCATGATACCATCTACATGTTTTGTTAGTCTATAAAGTGCTACCAGACCATTTGTTGTATCTTTATATCCAGTAAGCAAGTTATCAGTTAGCACTGTCATCTCCTATCAGCCCACCAATATTTCTAATTATCACATTTCCTATAACCATATTTTGTGCCTCAGATCTGTAGCCCATCTTCTGGAGAGACCACAGTGCATGAAGAATAAGTTACCTCTACCATTATTGCAAGGTAGCTCCCAGATAAGGTAAATGGTCCTCCCTTTCACGTGAGCTCACACATCATAACACCAATTCTCTAACTTTTACCTGAATGCGACATACACAGACAACCCCCCTTAAAGGTATTCAAATTCAAATAAAAAATCCAGGAATTTCAGAATGATCCATGATAAAAGAACATATACTGTGCACCACAAAGACAAGATTCTCTTAAAGTAATACAAACATTATTCCTAATCAACATATACAGTTCTGGCTACAGAACTTACAGTATCTAGCCAGAAATTAATGGAATCCATCCGTAAATGGTGTGCATATATTTTTATAAAACATACATATAATATTTCGGGCTTATAATTATTATAAAAATCCTTATTTCTACTTTGGGCTTGAACATTTCAGGCATCACTGTGGAAACAAGAGTATCAACTAGTTGCAGAATCTTTGGAGAACATCACTGTGCAGGAGCTGGTTAAAACACACTATCCAGTGACACCTTACATGCTATAAGAATTGCACCCACTGAAGAGGAAATAAATGAGCACAGGGGAAACGTTGAATATTGTGGGTGTGACAAGAGCCAGCTGGAGTAAAGACTCATCTTATAGTATGTCTCATGGCATGTATTTAGAGAACACTAAGCCGGAAGTCTGAAGGCATCCATTAAGCAGAGATTCAATAGATGAAACAAGTGAAAAACTGTATGAAGCAGTCACTCAAAGAGAATTGCATGGAAGTAAAGTGGGTGCATTGACCCAAAAGACCTCTATTCATACAATACTATATATAACATCGAGAGATGCACCAAGAATGTATGTAATGAACTGCATCAAAAGGAAAAAGCAACAGAAACTAATACTGATTTTATTACTGCAACTC